CCTAGGTGAAGGGTTGGACCTGTTTAGAAATCACAGAAAATGTAGTGGTTTTGGCTAATCTTGAGACAGGTAGAAAACATTTAGAAAGGGAAAGAGTCTGTCTGGATTGACAAAAAGAAGTTTCATGAGAGAAAATGGGAGGGAGGAAAAAGGGAGAAAGACAGAAATCCTATTTTTATATAGGACCAGGATTTCTGAAAAAAATCAGTGTTGGAGAAAAGACCTGCAAGTCATCTCTGGTAATAATTAAAACCCTCAGCTTGAATCACTACTAGGAAGTACAGGTGCCCAACTCATTTTCGATAAATAACATTTCCTAAACATCGTCCGATGTTGGCCAGAAATGTGACTCAGTGTTAGAGTACTTTTCTTCAATAAGTGAGGTATTATACTCAATAATAAAAACAACAAGAAAAATTATCCCAGTCCTCACTATTTTGGGAAGGGCTGGAGAGATAGTACAGCGGATAGGGCATTGCCTTGCACATGGCTGGGTTCGATCCCCGGCATCCCATATGGTTCCCCAAGCACCGCCAGGAGTAATTCCTGAGTGCAGAGCCAGGAGGAACCCCTGAGCATCGCTGAGTGTTGCCCCCCCCCAAAAAAAGTCCTTACCATTTTTCACTTATAAATAATGATAATAATTGACATTTTAAACTCCAAAGTTATACACAAAATAAAGAGGTCATGAGAATCTCTTGTAAAGGATTATAGAAATAGCTTATGAGAACAGTGAGCAATGACACTCCTCATGACATTCTCTTCTTGCTTGTTTCATGTTAAATCCCTGATGAGAAGGACGTGATATGAACTATACAAATAAGCTTCTTGACTTCCTTTTTTAAATATAAGGAAGTGATCGTTCCTTGAAAAAGCTGTTGGCCTATGTTACAGGACTGAGAGCACCAAGCAAGGCCAGCAAAGGGCAGGTGAGAAGGGATGGGAAGGTGAATTGGAAGTAGCACAAAGACATTAGTGGAGGGTCTTCGTTCATTGGTGGTGCGGTGCGGTACCTGTGTCCATCAAAACCAGAAACATAAACACTACTATAAAAACATGACTTAAACTGTAATGATTAAACTAAAACTTGCAGGCCAGAGAGATATAATAGTAGGCAGGGTACCTGTCTTGTACACAGCTGGCCCAGGTTTGGTCCTCAGAATCCCATATGGTCCAAGTACCACCTGGAGTGATCCCTAAGTATAAAACCAGACGTAAGCCCTGAACATTTCCAGGTGTGCCCCCTCCCCGCCCCCAAAATAGAAATTTGATCCGGGAATTTAAAAAATCAAAAGAAACTGGTCACTCCCTAGGTCTTGCACGGTTTTCATTTTATTGCATATGTTAGGCATCATTGTTCTCACCCCCCCCCCCAAAAAATTTTAGCCACATGTCTGGCATGCAGTAAATGCTCAATAAATATTTGTTGTATGACTGAGTCCGTGTTTTTGAGGAGGTGCTGTATGCAAAGCTCTGGGGAAGCATTCTGGGACAAGTGAAGGTGGAGTCATGGCTTCTATCTTCAAAGAGTCCACACCCACGCTGGGATGGGTGGGCCGTGGGCAGGGGATCAAATAGCTCTGCTGAAAGAAAAGGTGGGAGTGATAAGCTTGCAGCATGTTAAAGCAGTGTAAAAATAATAAAGCATAAACTGTTTAGCTGCCACTAAAGCATAAACTGTTTGGCTGCCACTTCACTGTGTCTGTGTTGTTATTCATGGGATTCCTCTGACAATGGGGAAAAGACAGACTTCTTGTTGAAGGCAGATTACAGGAGTAAAGGGGTAAAATATGTATTGATGAGAGGCCTAAGGTGGGAGATGATAGAGGTAGGATTTGGAGTTGGCTTGAGAGGCTGACTAGAGCAACCTTTACTGAATATGTGCTCCATCCAAATATGTGTCAAAAGGAGTGCTTTTCCTTGCGTGAACTCTTAGTTTTCAGAGGATCTGTGTGGTAAGATCTTACAGAATAGGAAATGGAGGCTCAATAACCCACTCAAAGTCTCATTGCTAGTCAGGGCCACAGTCCCATAGTCTGATTAATGAGTACCAAGTATTTTTAATTTAATTTTATCTTTGCTTTATGGGTCACACTCAGCGATGCATTGGGATTACTCCTGGCTCATGCACTCAGGAATTACTCCTGGTGGTGCTCAGGGGAACAGAATGGGATGCTGGGTATCGAACAAGGGTCGACCGCGTGCAAGGCAAATGCCCTACCCACGGCGCTATTGCTCCAGCCCCTGAGTACCAAGTCTTAACTAACATTGTAAGCCTCAAGAAGCAATCAGTGAAGTCACCAATAAAATGGGTTTATTTGCATACAACCATAGAAGGGAATTTGGAAAAAGAGTCTCTTGGCGAAACACAGATGTACTTCCTCATATCAAAAGCCTGCACCTTGGGGCCGGAGAGATAGTACAGTGAGTAGATCGTTTTCTTTGATTCCTGGATCCCACATGGTCCCTAGAGTTTGCCAGGAGTGATTCTTGGGTGCAAAGCCAAGAGTATTCTCCGAGCCCTGCTAGGTGTGGCCCCCAAACCAAAAACAAGCCAAAACAAAAAACACGAAAAATCCTGCATCCTCTATGCGGATCTTGGAGGTGCTGCTACTGGAATCTTCTTTCCATTGGGACAGGAAACCACTTTCCTCTGGCCAGGACGCAATGCTTGTTGCGACCTGTGTGAGGTTGCACGTGCCCAGGAACTCTCTGTCAGCCTCCTCACCTACTTTAAATAGGGCTTCTGCATATGAAATTTCACTATATATTAAATTTTTTTACATAAGCTTATAGTAAATAGATTTATTATACATGCGAGTTGTTATAAATGGAAGGAGTTTGCTATCTCTTTGGATCAAAACATTCTCTTTGGGGGGCTGGAGCAATAGCACAGCGGGTAGGGAGTTTGCTTTGCATGCGGTCGACCCGGATTCGATTCCCAGCATCCCATATGGTCCCCTGAGCACCGCCAGGAGTGATTCCTGAGTGCAAAGCCAGGAGTAACCCCTGAACATCGCCGGGTGTGACCCAAAAGGCAAAAAAAAAAAGCATTCTCTTTTGTGGGGTGTGCCACATCCGGCTGAGCTCAGGGCTTTGCTCCATTAGCATACAGCACTGGGTTTAGCATTATTTTGCTCTGTTGATTTCACATACATAATCAACCTTTATCATCATGTACTTGTTCGTGTTCTAAATTTACTTTTCTCTCTCTGCCCTAAACTCCAGAAGATAATTGTTGGTGTAGCCACTTTTGCAACCCTAGAACCTGAAATGATTCCTGCCAACTGTTGGATCTCTTTGGTGAATGACTAATAGTTTATTTTTTTTTCTTTTTGGAGGTGCCAAGAATTGAAACTAGGTCCTCATGCATGTGAAACATGTGTTTCATCCCGCCCCTAAATTATATTTATTTATTCTGTTTTGGAGGTGTAACACATGGTTTCAACATAGGGACTGCTCCCAGCTCTGCTTGGGAGGTAGCTTTGGAGATGCACTGTAATGCAGAGCTAGGGATTGAACCCTAGCCTCCTGCCTACCAAGGATGCTCTCCAGCCCCTTGAACTATCACTGCAGTCTCAAACTATGATATTTTAATATATTTTGCTTTGTACAAATGTTACAAGATTCAAAAAAAAAAACAAAAGAACAAAAAGAAAGAACAATTTTGACTTTGGGTCATACCTGACAGTGCTCTGGGATATTTCTGGCTCTGTGCTTGGGAGTAGCCGCTGTCGGTGTTTGCAAGGTGGCGGGGGGTGGGAGGCACATATGCAGTGCTAGGATAGATCCGGGGTAGGCTGATGCCAGGCAAGCACCTTACTCACTGTACTGTCTCTCTGCCCATCACAGCAAAATTGAGTAGGAAGTAGAGTTCTTTTATACTCTTCCACCAAATCCCACCTTGGCAAACCTCCCCTATCTCAACATCCCCCCAGATGTGCTAATTTTGTTACAATAGATGAACATGCATCAACAGATTTCATTGTCTAAATTTCTTAACTTACACCGGAGCTCACTCTTGGTGCTGCTGTACCTTCTGCAGTACAATACTAATCCACCACTATAGCATCAAATAGTACTTCAGTGTCCTAAAAATCCTTGGTTTGATTTTACTTCCTCCCTCCCCCTTAACCCTAGAAATTGTGGGGTTTTTTTTCTGTCTTCAGAGTTTTGCCTTCTCCAGAATACCATATAGCTGGAGTTTTCCTTTTCACATTGGCTTCTTTTGTTCCGGAAGAGACCTCCTATGCCTTTCCATAGCCCATTTCTTTTCAGCTGAATAAATTCTACCACCTCAATATACCCTACCTGATTTAGCCAATGAATTGTGTAATATTTATTTTGTTTTGTGGTTACACTCAGTAGGATCCCTGCCAGCGGGTCTCAGAGGGCCATAGGTGGTGCTAGATATCTTACTGGGTGGGCTGCGAGCAAGTTCTTAATCCCTGTGCTATTTCTCTGACTAAAATGATCATTTTGCACCCAAAAATAAGATAAGAAATATGAGGAGATGGCTCAAGTGGCAGAGCATGGACTGATATGTGCAAGGCCTTGGGTTTGACCCCAAGCACTGAAGTCTATTCCATCCCACCAAGTGTCAACCGGGAGTGTCCTGGGCCGCCCCCCCCCCCAACTATCCCTGGATGTGGGGTGCAAAGTAAAATGTAAACTTGAAGAACTGAGTCTCTAAATGAATAAAGCTGTAGCCTGAAGTGGACACTGAGATTGAAGTTGAGGGGAGAGGAGGGAGAGGGAGATGTTGAGTGCCAGGGGCCTTGGATGGAAACCCAGGTCCTGCGTTCATCCAGCGGCGCCGTCCGAGCGCCCTCTCTGGGAGGGCGGGGTACTGCATGCTCGGTGGGGTAAACCAGAGGCGGTCCCTGCCTTCCAGACGGGTCCCTTCTGGGCATGGATGGTCCCAGCCGATCAGAGGGGATTTGGGGCACCCAGGCAGGGTCCACTCGCTCATGTCTCTCTCTGTCCTGACTTCCAAGCAGATTGAAGAAGGGGGCAAAGCAGACTCGGTGAGCTCCAAACTGCGGGCAGGGGACGAGGTGGTGCACATCAACGAGGTGGTGCTGAGCAGCTCCCGGCGCGAGGCAGTTTCCCTGGTGAAGGGCTCCTACAAGACGCTCCGGCTCGTGGTGCGCAGGTAGGTGCCAGCGCCCCTTCCTCCGCCACCGCCCACCCCGCGGCGGGCACAGTCCTATTCAGTTCCTCGCCTTAGCCCCCTTGGGTGGCGCTTTCCACCTTTTCTCCTCGCGTTTGCTTGTTTCTGGCTCATCTCCTGGCAGCTGGGGGAGGATGGGGTGAGCGGGGAGGACTTCCTAAATTGCTGGGGTTTGATGGAAAGTGGCTCCCAGCGGGTTCGGAGCTCAGAGCGTTGGCTCATGTGGGAACTAGAGACAGCCCCTGGCTGGACCCTTCAAATATTCTGCTCGCCGCCCCCTGCACTCCGACATGCAAACTAGCCAATTCCAACTTCTGTTTTTCCGGTTGTGGTTCCTTTATTGGAAGAGGTTTGGCTGCTGTAAACTCGGAAATTCAGAGGTAACCAATTGGGGGGAGTTACTTCTTGGAAGGGGAAGGATGGTGTTCTGGGACCAGAAAGAAAAGAATGGAAAACTCAGCAAATGGATTGCCCTGGGATTGAAATGCAGCCTGGCGTTTACAAACTGTAGTACTGAGTCACTTTAAGCCTCAGTTTCCTTAATTAAGTGGAGATAATAATGTATCACTCCATAGTGCTTTTTTCATGTACAGAGGAGATGGACAATATTGGGTTATAATTCTTTTTTTTTCTTTTTGGGTCACACCCAGCGATGCGCAGGGGTTACTCTTGGCTCATGCACTCAGGAATTACTCCTGGCGGTGCTTGGGGGGGACCATATGGGATACTAGGAATCAAACCCGGGTCAGACGCATACAAGGCAAACGCCCTACCCGCTGTGCTATCTATAATTCTTGACTAGAGAAGAAAAAAGCGACATACTAATATGGAGAGACCTTCCTTCTACTATATATGTTTGAATGTCTCCTGGTCATTGACAAGCTTCTCTCTTAACTTTTTTGGTAACTTTTTCGCCAATACAACCAATTAAAAATTCATTTGCAGAACTGATCGGCATAGTGGCCCAGGGACCTATGGAATTTAGAAATTTAGGAACTCACAGGACCCACATTATCCAGAGTCACAGGAAACTGAAGGATCTAAGCCAGAATGCTAGCGCATTAACACAGTTTGAACAAGACAACTCTGAGTAGAACAAATATCCCAGATGCACCAAGAATCAGTGTATGTTATCTCTCCAGGAAAGAAAGACAAGAAGTCTGGTCAAAATGAGGTCAGGGAGGTGGGTGGCACCCTCTGAGCAGAGTGATGAGAGTGGGTCTGAGGTACCAGTGTGTGTAGTCATCAGTTCTGGTGGTCAGATGACCCTCTCTCACTGGGATACCCCTACCAGGCGCCCCAACACGCTCATCGGTGAGTCAGGGCCCTTTCTCCTCTAGTCAGCAGGAAGTCTTGCTACAGAGCTCTTCTCTCCAATCTCAGTTCTTCTCAGCCCTTCAACAGCAAATTCGTTTTCTGATTGACACATTCTCTCTTTAGTTATGCTAATGTGATTGATCAGGTTGCTGAGCCTTGCTCTCCTATTATGTGCTGATTTTGATAGTTGAGTTGGACAAAAAAAGGATGCTGCCTTTACTTCTCACACAGACTTGTAGAGGGGAATTATAAACACTCTTTAGTGGCCTCCCTTACCTTTCTAAGAACTGGGAGGAAACCCCTTTGCTCTTGATTCATCCGGCTTTGTAACACGGTAGAGCTGTCATTTTGCTGAGAAACCCTACCATTATGCCTGGGCATATGCCCTGTCCTCAGATCTTATTTCCTCCTATTTATTCATAATAGGGTGACTTATGATGTTTCATTGATTAGCTTTCCTTTCTTCCCGTTTGATATTTGTGCTTTATTTATCTAGCCCGCACGGCAAAGCCTGGCAAGCTCCCCGTGATGTATTCAATATGCCAAACACAGTAACAACACTCACAATGGAGACATTACTGGGCCCACTCGAGCAAATCAATGAACAACGGGAGAACCATATTTATTTGGGGGGCCTTGGGGTCACACCTGGTGTTGCTTCCCGCTCTTGCTGGGGGTGCAGATCATTCCTGTTGAAGCTCAGAGGACAATGCAGTGCTGGGGATTAAACCGGGATCAGTTTCCTGCAAAGCAAGCACCTGATACTTGTCTCTCTGGCCCTGATCTCTATGCTTTAAAAAGTGTTGAGGTGACTTCTGGAAAAATAAAGGGAGCAAGTGGGGGCGGTTGGTTTTCTAGAGGTCATTCGTGCAGTGACCATGTGTGTATCAGTGCATTGCCTGCCTCCTTTTCTCTTGCAGCTAGTTTGAGCAGGTGAGCGCAACAGCTCACGTCACGGGGCTCCTACACCCATCATAAGAAATGCCAAGAATGCGGGCAGAATTGTTGTGTTTATATAAGTTTTGAGGGTGTCCAATGGCCAAAAACAAACAAAAGTAGAAACACCTTCTTAAAAGGCTACAGTGACAAGAGAGATCCAAAGTCTCGAGTGAGTTGTGGGTCAAACACCTTAGAGGGCCTGCTGACCTGTGACGAAGGCGGAGTTTCATCCTGGGGAGGGGGGTGCAGGGGTCTGTGTGGGAGCAGCTGAACTGAGACAGCGTGGTCATGGGCCACAGGAAGTGGAGCTGAGGTCTGCAGCTGGTGCTGAGTAATTGGGGAGGCAATGATCAAATGACAGTGGGCTGAAGACCTTAGAGGAAAACAACATCTTCCAGTGGAAGGGAAATTGTACTGTGAGAACTGCATGGATTGTAAGGGTGTAAATTTGGGAAGCAGACATGAGCATGCTGAATGCTCCAAACCTCTAAAACCAACAAACTGTCACACAGGTGTGTGGAAGATCTATGTCTTAGAACCAGGTAATGGTTAAAGTGGAAACTAGCTGACAAAGGGAAGGCGCTTCCGGTTTACTGTAATGCCCGTCAAAGGGTGCAAGGTGTTTTCAGTAGTGGAACTTCTTGATGTTGTTTGAAAAACAGCAACACTAAAATTTGAATTAGAAACCAAAGGCTAATTTCTTGGGGTGATTGGAGTTATTACTATGTTTTACACTGAAGTGTTTTTTTTTACAATGTAAAAGAGTTTTGCTCGAGCGGGCCCAGTAACGTCTCCATTGGAGACTTTGTTGTTACTGTGTCTGGCATATCGAATACTCTCGGTAGCTTGCCGGGCTCTCCGAGAGGGACGGAGGAATCGAACTCGGGTCGGCCATGTTGGCTGCATGCAAGGCAGACACCCTACCCGCTGTTTATTTCTTTTTATTAGTGAAACACCATGAGGTACAGTTGTAGATTTCAGTTATACAATGATCGAGTACCTATCCCTCCACCAGTGCCCATTCTCCACCACCAATGATCCCAGTAGCCCTCCCACCCCGCCTTTGTGGCAGGGCATTCCTTTTTGCTCTCTCTTTCCTTTAGGGTGTTGTGGTTTGTATTGAGTGGCCGTCATGTTCGATCTATAGTCTACTTTCAGCAGGCATCTTGCATCCCAAGCGAATCCTCCAAACATCCTTTACTTGGCGTTCCCTTCTCTTTCTGAGCTGCCTTTTCCTCCAGCATGTGCTGCCAGCTTCCAAGTCGTGGAGTAGGTCTCCTGGTACTTCTCTCAACTGTTCTTGGGTGTTCAACTCCCATTCTGTTACTTTATATTCCCCAGATTACACTCAAGTTTTGACCCTGAGTTTGGGCTCAGTCTGGTCCTGAATCAGCGTGTGAGAATTGGATTATCATCTAAAGTCTCTAATTCCAATTTTGATTACCCTGCTTCTTTTTATTTTTTTTTCTTGGCAAATCCAACCTTTTTTTTTTTTTAAATCCAACCTTTGATATCAAATATTTCTAAGTATTTCCCAAGGACAGTTAAAACAAGGGCCAGGAGGACTGGTCCATGGTTGGAAGCCTACCTCAAGTGCTGAGGGAGAGGGCAATTGGGATACAGAAGGGACCACTATGACAATGATGGTTGGAGGGATCGTTCTGGAAGGGAGATGTGTGCTGTAAGGAGAGGAAAGGACCAAATGTGATGGCCTCTCAGTATAGTCTTGCAAACCAGAATGCCCCAAAGGAGAGAGAGCGTAAGAAGAAAAGTGTCTGCTATAGAGGCAGGCGGGGTGGTGGTGAGTGGTGAGAGGGAGGGGAGATACTGGGGACATTGATGGTAGGAAATGTACACTGGTGGAGAGATGGGTGTTGGACATTTTATGACTGAAACTGGATCATGACGGCTTTTGTAACTATGTATCTCACAGCGATTCAGATAAAAAATATTTTTAAAAATTTCCAAGTATTTCTGCACTGTGTGCCAGGTGCTATCTGCATTGTCTGCATTTTCTTCTTTCTTTCCGTGTCCTTGTCACCTGCCACTCTCATTTCCTATGTATGACCTATCCCAACTATAGATGTTTCTGCCTGTACCCCGTGGTTGGGGTTTTTTTTTTTTTGCTTTTTTGGGTCACACCGGCAATGCCCACGAGTTACTCCTGGTTCATACACTCAGGAATCACTCCTGGCGGTGCTTGGGGGACCATATGGGATGCTGGGAATCGAACCCAGGTAGGCCGTGTGCAAGGCAAGCGCCCTACCTGCTGTGCTATCACTCCAGCCTCTGTACCCTGTGGTTTGAAATGACCAGATTATTTTACCTTCCCCTTCTTTTCCTCCATAATACTTTCTCTGTGTCATGGGAGTAGGTCTGGTCTCGACCTGTGTCTTTTTTTTTCTGATGTGTAATGCAATACATTTATTTTAAACAAAATTAAAACTGAATAAGATTTTCTTCCTCAGTTGCACTAGCCTCATTCCAAGTGCTTACTAATCACATGTTACTACTAGTGGTTGCTAATCAGTACAGTATAGAACTTTTCCTTGAATTCTGTTTCACAGCTTAACTATGGAGTTAGAGCATAGGATTATTGGACCCTGGATTCCTTTTAGTTTTTTTTTAACTTTTTAATTTTTTTAAATTTCATTTTTATCTTTTTAAATTTTTATTAGTGAAACACCATGAGGCACAGTTGTAGACTTACAAATATTTGTGCTTGG